TTTGACCTCGGCTCCGTGGCTGAAGCCACGTAGTGCCCATCAGCGCCATCACGCTGCGAGTGGCCCGTTGGCCTGCCGCTGCTGTCCCTGGTCAGACGACCGAGGGCGATGAGGTTGGGCCTGGCCCTCGGGCACGTAGAGGCACTCCTGTAGCACAATCTGCATCGCAGCTCCGCTCGTCGTGCGTGCATGCAACAGCACAGAGCCAACACCGCGCACGGGCACACGTGTGCCGCCAAACGCAGTGATGTGGCGTGGATGGTGCTGTTGCAGGTGCGGTGTCAGCTCCACGAAGGCGTCCTTGACGAAGGTGAGGTGGTGTGAAGCACCCGTGTCTGCAAGCCACGTGAGTGGGTCATGCAGCTGCGTGGGTGTAGTAGCTGTGGCAGCGACGAAGGTTGCTGCGTCTTGACCATGTTGATGCTGTGCCTGTGCAGTGAAGCCTGTTGCTCCGTTGTCGCGTTGCTTCTTGCGACACTCTGCTGCACGGTGTCCATACTTGCCACAGTAGTGACAGTTGCCACGGAAGCGGCGCCCCTTGCTGTTGCTGTTGCCGTTACCGCCGCCGTTGTTGCGTCCCTGGCGTCCGTGGTTGTTGCTGTTGTTGGAGAAGCCGCGTCTTCCACCTCTGCGTGGCGGTGCACTTGCCATGAAGCCGCCTGCCTGCGGCTGTGTGCGTGAACCACGCATCTGCTGCTCCAACTGCTGCAGCCTGATGCTGAGCTCGAGGAGGGAGGGAAAGCGGCCACTGGCAAAGTAGGGAAGCGTGAGCGGGGCTGTCCAGCGTGGCAGCTGCTTCCAGACGATGGTGAAGAGGTCCTCGTTGTCCTGGCGCACGCCTGCGTCCTGCAACTGCTGCTGCAGCTCCATGTGTCGCTCGAAGAAGCGGGCGAGGTTGCCGCAGGGGACGTGAAGCTGCGCCTCCTTGAGCTCTGCGATGCGGAGGCGGTCCTGCGAAGCGTAGTGGTCCTTGAGCCGGGCCCATCCTTGGCCGGCGTTGACGTCTGCTTCTCCGTTGGTGAGAGGAGAAGGGGTAGCCTGAGAGCGTGGACGCGATGAGGTTTGAAGCGGTGAGGTTGGCGTGATCTCCTGC